ATCACGGCTTCATTTGAAGTGTGACGCAGCAAAAATTATCGTTCAAGACCTCTGGCACCATATTCCGAAGATCTTTGACCTACCTATATATCTTCGTAAGATACACCGGGAACCCAAGCTTAGAGTTCAATCTTAAGATTGAGGCATGTTTATTATTGTTAGCTTAATCCACTTTGAACTTTTGAAATTCTGACATTTTTGCACTAGCCTTGGATCACTGCAGCAAACCATATTAATTCAAGTTAAATAAAATACGACCTTGCAGAAATTTCATCGACTAAAGTTTGAATTGCAGTATTTTTTGTACAAAAAGCTAGTATTATGCATCGCTCTAAACTCCTCATTAAAATTTCAAAGCTGTAAACATTACAATATGTTGGAGCCAATCAATTTGCCCTAACAGGACGAATTATCGTATGGAATGGATTTTTCAGGTGATGAGTGCACGACATAATTGAACGTGAAAAATATCTGCGCTAAGAGGATCAATTCTGTACGCGCAGTAAGAAATAAGCCTAAGCCCTCAATGATCCATCAAATTATGTTGGAATTTTCCACCAATCAAAACGTGATTGAACGCTCGATTCGCGACTAATGAGCAAATTATTAACGATTTCATGTTGTCAAAAAAACTCAGTGCATGCAAATCATAAGTATATAAGCATATACGAAGCATCCGTTCCAATCGTCGAGTCGTGTAGTATCATCAAGTCCTTTCTACATTTCGAATCCCAACTCGCAAGATGCAATTTCTCTTTATGTTCGTTCTTCTGGCCACAGCAGTCTTCGCCGCACCGCAAGCTTCTACAGACGTACCTGTACCAATGGACGGTGCCGAATTTTTGCCGAAGTTCTTGGAGGATTCAAATGAAGAGGGCAGAAAACAATTCTGGACAATTATCACGTCAAAGGACGCTACTGTCGCAAACATCGAAGCCAAGCTCAACGAATGGGCATCAAAACAGAGTGAACAAGTCCAGGTGAGCTATTGTGGAGGCGTTTTAGATCAACTAAGTCTTTTTATGTGAGCTTTAATATTCGACTGAAAAATCATTGTAGAACTGTGGAACCTTGTAGGATTCAGCACAGTGCTGTATGAAAAATTACTTCTACAGAATATAAGTGAAATAAAATCTGAATGAAGCTAGGAAATATGCTGGAAAATGCACTGCAACGATATTGCAACCGAATGTTGTGGACAGATAGCTTAGCATCTACGTTTATCTAGTTTGGTGATTCATAAAGTCAATTCGAACACTGCGATTTACCGGTTGATCGCCGCAGCATATCCTGGTCAATTGTGATTGCTCATTGCAGAAGGACTACGAACATGCCAAAGATAATCTGAAGAAGATTATCAGTGCCCTCAAGGAGGCCGTTGAGAAGTCGTCGCTGTCGGCAGCCGCAAAGGATGCTTTCAAGATGGTTGACAGCATCGTTTCAAACACCCAGCAAACGTTCCCTCAACAAGTCAAAGCAATTTTCGATTACATTAAGTCACTTCCTGAGAAGACTCGTCAAGAATTGCGACAGTTCATCAAGAACGAAATGAAGAATATCAAACAACAAATTGGAAATCATTAATTTTGTGTGATCAGATTGCACATTTTTACTTACGTTAATAAATTCATTTGCATTATTCACGATTTGCTCAAATGCTCTGCATCACACATTGATCGTTTCTTACGTTGGCTTACGACCCAAGCAAAACAATTCTATAGCTCTGAAGGTTCGAAAAATTAGAGGAGAAACTGTCATACATAGGATGAATGGGGCAGTTCTATTCTACAAGAACAGGCTTCCCTGGTATATCATTCTCTTTTGGTCACAGGCAAAATGAATTTATGGGGTCTTTTTTTGCAAAGTTTGGGCCTAGTGATGGCCTTATGATTGCATGAAAAGCTATTGTCTATGATACGCTCACTTTAAACTGTTTTGCATGGATTCTCATTCTTTTCAGANCTCTCATAGCTATCACATGCGAGTATCGTTCTATTGATGAGTTTTTATCATTCACTTCGTCTCATTTCACTTCACAGTTCGAATCAACTTCTCATTCTGTGTTATATACTATTTACCGGATACGTTGACGAGTGTTGACAACCGAAATCAACAACACAACAATTGAATTCAATTGCTGAACAACGTTCGACAGTCAAATGATCAATTATAGAGTGTATTTGATAGAATGAGAATTTGACTTTAATAGTTGAGTGAAATGAATGAGAAATTAGCAGAGGAGAACACTTTTGGTGATAAAAGCTATGAGAGCGATTTTAACAGTACGGAAAAGAATGAAAACCCAGTTAAAGCGGCATTTAGAAGGCAAATGGACTTATTCCCGTATCAAGGAAGATATTGATACGGGAATAAGCTGTGCCTAAGAAAGTTCATTCAAAGTGCATTGGATAACGCGAAAATGGCAGTGTGATTTTTACACTCAAGTTGTTTATGACCAACCGATCCAAAACTTACAATAGTGAAAATAATAACAATCATGATTGGTGCACTTTTGATTAGTAGTGAAATCGGTTCTGAATAAGTACTTACAATTTCAAATTGATGTGTTCGCCGAATTACCGTATCTGGTTCCAACTGTCAACAAATTGTTGATAGCAAAAACAACTCGTACGGGTTATACATAAGAATCAGCAATTCTGAGATTTCAGAACGTATAAACTTCACCCATTCCATCTAATTTTGCGACTGTCCAATTTCTGCTATATTGTGAGAGGTCGCCTGCGAAAATCGTTCATCAATGATGACTTTCGATCGTAATTTGCTTTAACGAGAATTAATCTTGGATGGTAGCTTTTCTTGGTAGTTTTAGGGCTTTTCATAGCCGTTTCGCAGTCGTTTGGTAGTTTTATAGCTTTTCATATACATTTGCGGTACAAAGCTTGCAAACTTTGAATGTGCCAACGTTATGGATCANCTCGTATTGCTGAATCATCGTTTTCAGAAAGTAGATTCAACAATAGGTTGAGGTTAAGGAATGCAGACGAAAAGTCCAATGTGGGAGCAAGAGTACGGACAGAATTATTAGTTGAGTGATATTTTGAGTTATTCCGAGTGTCAACAACGATACTGAGGAGAGTTATGATGAAGCTCGCAGGAATTTCGTTGAATGTTGACGTACTAATGACAACAACATTAATAGTGACAGTTATTTGATTTGAAATCAAATCTAATGAATAAACATATATCAACAAATATTGGGCCTAGCATAATGGTTTGACATGATCTAAGGTTCTATTCAGTAAGGAAACGAGGCAACAACACCAACAACAAAGCTTGAAGAAATCGAGATTATTTTATCAAAATATTTATTTTGTTAGAATTGCACATAAAGTTATGCTGAAAATGTAAACATTTATAAATTGTACTCAAAATATTTGTTCATCAATTTACGGAAATATTTCTAGAATGATCATCATTGTTATTTACTACCGGTAGTGCCTCAAGAATACTTCTACAATCGGAAACTTGATTTTGATTAGTTTGTTGAGTAAACCTTGAAGCCAGCTGCAATGATTATTAAAGATCGGCGCCCTGTCCCTCTAAGTCATCCTTCGTTCAGGTTGAGGTGAATGCTAGTGGTTGTAGTCGAGTGGGTTTCATGTTCATGCTGAAAGTGTTAACTAGGCATCTAAAATCTAAACAATATCATCACAGATGAATTGCTTCCATTTTTCCATCCTTCATTAACCATTCTCACAATGAACTGAAGATATTAAGTGAGCAATAGGATGTGTGACGGAAATCTAGCGTTCGCATTCCTTATAAATTCCACTTCAAGTTGATTTGATCATGAAACGATCAATTTCCAGAGTACTGCAGTTACTCGTCTTATCGATAATGAATCCAGCAAAGTTCTTGATCGTATTATTCTCAATATTAGCCGTTACGAACGCATTCGTTCACCTCGGTGATAGTCTTACCGTTCATGGCAATAGTACTGGAATGCAGTGAGTTTGGTTATCGTTTTGTTTTACTCTTGAACTGGTCGCATTCATCACATCCAATCATTTAGCAGACTTGGATGTCCCATCTCAAAAATGATGACCACTCAAAATATGTCATTTGTTTCATGTAAAGAGCAGTTTCAATCGAATATGTAAAGAGCAGTATCCTTTCTTTATTTGAAAGCTTGAAGCCTTACTGCTTTCCGTATATATCAGTTTATTGGTGTGTTTTTAGTGAAAGATTCAAGCGTCAACTCAGTGGATTCGGTGAATACGGTGGATTTGGAGGATTTGGAGGGTTTGGTGGATTTGGTGGTGGATATGGGGGAGGATTCGGTTGTTGCTGTTGCTGTTGTTGTTGTGGTGGTGGGTGGGGCAAGAAGAAATAAATGATCCACTTCATCATTTATTATTGCTATGAAAAATCGCCTAATTTTTTCGCTTCAGAATGGATTCGCTCAGGTGAAAGTGTTGTGAAAATTCACTGTTATACGTGACCAAAAAGCCCAATAGACGGAAAGACTCGAACACGTAAAATTTCGGGCTTTCCTGAGACGATCGTTTTGGGAAGTGTGATTCGGAGAAGTATCAACAACACTTTTGCCTGTAGACAAATGTACATGTATTATAATAATCGGACTCCATTATGTCCGCAATTGCATCATTTTCAACATTTTCTTATAAAGTTCAATGATTCTTTTTTCTCTCAAAATGGCTGAGAATTCGTGATGTACTGCATTCGAATATGATTCATTCTATCAACTTATTGCAATGTTATTGCGTGATTATTGCTGTCAAAATCGTGCCCATATCACTCGCCGTGTTGTTGTATTGATCTATGGCCTTACTGTTTCAACTGAAATGCCTCAATAAACACATTATGAAAGGGAAATGTTCTATTTTGTACGTTGGCTCCCATAATTCAATGAAATGGCTAGCTGCAGGATCGCAGAACGACTGAAATCCTGTTACAACTGGATGATATCAAGCGCTTTTCATGCTCACTAATCGTAAGCTCACAAGTGACAATTATATCTTGGCTGTTCTAAATGAACATGATTTGATAAGTCCGACATCAGAGTTTTTACATATTCATCCAAATATGCTCCCAAATACTGTATAGATGTTGAGCCTGAATGAATCTCCCCATGTGCATGCAGTTGATCCTACTGAAGAGCAACAATATCATCACTGAACTTGCCACATTTGTCATGTCGACTCACCAACAGCAGAAAGTTCTGTTTCTACCATAAACCCTACATTTTCATGATGTTCTCACACAACACGCACTGAACAATTGAAAAGCATGAGTATATTCATTCATGTAATCGTCATTCCTCAATTAACTGAAAGACCCTGAACCAACCAAGGCAATCTATTTCAAACACTTGCGAATGAATGAGTAAAACCTTCTGAGTTTAAACAGCAAAAATTCTTTGATTGGAGCGAAATGTACGGAGTTCGTATGATCGAGTGATTGTTGCGATGTCAATTCATCATAGTTTTACCACTCAAATGAGATCAGACAATTTAAGCTAAACAACTAGTTGATGTCACCATTGGAACACCAGTTTTTCATGATATCTAATGGAAGAATATTATCACCAATTGACTTACACGCTTTCGTTAAAGGAATGTTCATCAAGAATCACATCGTTCAAGTGATTGTTCAGTGTACGCAAGAGGTAGGAGATGAGACCGAATTGACATGATTTATGATGATTGATCATGAAGGTAAAATGAGAAATCGAATCAGTTTAGCAAACCAAAAAAAGTTAAGAATTTGGAAACGATTTCAGAATGTCAACAATGTTCTGAACATGATCAAGCGTGAAGGTCATGTTGTCTACGTGCGATTTGCTTGTTATTCACCAATACTACTTCTCTTCATGATACAAAAAATTGCCATTTTGATTTGACCTTTCAAAAATATAAACTTCTACCACTTCAAAGTGCTACAAAACATATGGCCAAACAGCGTAAACTCTATGACTAATGGCTTCATTGACTAATAATGATGACACTAATGAAGGATAATAACGATAACATAAACAAAATTTTTATTCGTTAATTCAGTGAATCAAATTCAAAACGAAACGATAAAATTTTCGCATTGAACTTGTACATTGCCCTGCCATAAAACAGCACTAAGTAGGATGTGTTTCGCCGAAATTTGGAGTTCAGCGAAAAGCCTTTCCGTTCCGATTGAGCTATAAATAAACTTTGAAAAGACTATAAGTAGGATGAGGAATTTCAGCTCATCAAAATCGGTGACTTTTTTGTACTTGCTCAACATTTATTCTTCATCCGACGTTTGCTGGCCCATCGTTCAAGGTGATTCTAATGACTTTTCAAAGTTTTTTTCGCCTAATTAGGCTGCCAATCTTCCCTTAGAGCGAGTGAATATCTAGTAATAGCTAGATGCTGATGTGAGTTACCAATCGTTGACGAAGTTTCTGTTCATAGCTGTGTAACGTATGAATCAATTAATGCTCGATGAAAGTAAGACTGTTTGTGTAGGTGTTCATTATTTTTACTGACGGTTGATTGATTCAAAAAACATTCATGTGGCTGCCCGTAATTAATAATTCTGTTGATCGTGTTTTTCAGAATCGAAACCGCCTAAATTATGAGGAATTTTCTCATAGCTTCTCTGCTGTTCTTGCTTGTTTTTGTTTCGGTGCAATCGGTCATCAACAATTCGAGTAGTTTCAATCAACTCTCCGAAGGATCTACATCCGCTTTGTTGAGGTAATGACATTCTAGAGCGTTGCCTTGCGTGAAATTATGCATCAAAAGGTGTGATTATATAGTGGTGATATTTGCGTTTCAATACTACAGCGTTATATTAGTTCTCGTTATGTTATCGTGATTGCGGACAGATCAGTTGGTTCTGATTGTAGCGTTTGACGTTCATCAGATCAGTTTCGCATTATGTGAACTGAAGAACTGATTGCGATCTTAACACAACCACTCGGCAGAGACTGAACGGTCTCCGCGGTAGCTCAGAGGTAGAGCCACAACCGGTAATTGGTACGTCGCGGGTTCGATTCCCGTTAGCGGAGAAAAGTTTTACTCGAAACCGAGTGGTGTACCAATATCATTAATGTAGTTCTCATATTGCTTTGACCAAATTCATTAGGAAGAAATATCATATTAGAAATGAATCTATTTTCATAAATTATTTCCATTACTCATTATAAAGGAGGCGATAACGCCATCTGCAAACTGATAATGAGATGAACGAAGAAGTTTAGATTGCTGGAATGACTGAAAATTGAACGAGTGAACGTTTCAGGATGACACGACAAGCGGCTGAATTCAAGGGTCAATTTGTGGGTAACTTCAATTGCGAATACGAGTGTCGTTATGATAGCGTTGGTGCTGCTAACACAAAATCGTGGGGTCGTCGTTGTGGTCGATGTTGTTGTTGTTGCTGTCCATGGGGACAATGCTTGTTCCATCATCACAGATGCTGTCGACGTCGCAGACCCTGGCCACCGAGACCATGGCCACCATATCCAGAGCCACCCTACGACGACAGTGGTGAGGACAATCACTCACCTTGGGACGATGGTGAGATTGGTTCGAGTAAAGGTGCTGGCGGACGAAGAAAAACGCCCACCTCATGATGTTCACTGACTGGCGGCGGCTGAGAGTGATTGATTTGGTCCAACAAGGTGTTTTTACCAATCTTTGCTCGTTTTTTTAAGAACTTTTGCCAGTTGTTCGGAGGGTAAAGTTCCGAAGAACTATGAGAAATATGTGGTTTTGCAGCATAGCATTGCACTGCTTTCAAGTGTTTTATCTTAAAACATAATGACAATAATGTGTGGTATCTAACAAGTTATCTCTCCTATAAATCATCNTTATGTGATCATTTGAATTTATAGTCGATTGTAATAAACATTTGCTCCGATGTGTCAAAGTGTTTAGCAAGATCCATCAAACAAGAAAAACTAATCGCAGTTATACTCATGTAATTCAAATTCACGAAGAATTTTCTCTGTGTTGGGTGGCAAAAAAGGTGATGAAGCAGGAGTGGTTAACTTTGATAAATTTCCACGGGCAAGTTTACAACATCGCCAAAAACATAAACAGGTATCAGCGTAAATGAAACGGTCGCACAACTATCGGCAGGTTATAAATTGCGATTTTTAACTTGAACGGTGTTTATCTGTAGACTAGAAAGGCCAGTAGTCGTCAGCTTTGCTTAGTTTGAGGCGAATGCTTAAGCAAATTCTCAAGTGAGTGATCGCTAATTATGAAGGCTGTTTCTGATCAATCAGCGATACACTTTAGATCAACTGGATTGACTTCCGTTTATTTAATAACTTGTTCCAAGTCAGCTTCACTTTCAGCGTGTCACTTATCAGGTGTTAACGCTTCGTTATCCACTTATTGTTGATCATACGTCCGTACAACTTCGCCAAATTTGTACTTCCGTTTAAAAGAGATCCATTCCTGAATGATACAATCGCCTAAAATGAATGTGCTTATGTTCAGTTCAATGAAAGCCGATTCATTCTCTTGTGCTAGAGAATGACCATGAAAACATTTTGAAACTATTCAGATTTGGATTTCAGTTAGTCATTCCATTGTATCCAATGAATTGGATAAGTTCATCAATTGCACTGCTGTGCGGTTGCTTATTATTGACGATTGTGACAGCATCTGCTGCTGAGACTGCATCAGAAGTGAAGGATCCATTACAAAATGATGAAGCCGAGCGTAGGTATGTCGATTCTCGCAAATTCTACATCCAAATGGTCACTCCAGTTTCCAGTTTTCCACTTCATCATTTGTTCTAAGCTGATAGAACTTCTCAGACAAGCAGATATGTCGGTGTTGAAAGCGATCAATTACAGTACTCTCATCAATTCTAGCAACTCATAGCGATTAAGCAAATATCAGCAGCAAAATCTTCCTGAAGAAGAGAACATTTGTCACAATTAATGTCAGAGGGTACACAAGGCATTTGAGTTTCGAAACCTCAGCTATAGAATTAGGGCATATTACGAGATTTGTTCAGATGCACTCTTGTTCACTAGTGGAACGCATCAGAAAGATGGTTATTCAATGAGGGTCATGCCAATAGTGTCAATAATNATGGCACCACCAGCTATGATGGCACCACCACCTGTGGTAGCTGCGCCTGTTATGTCAGTAGCAGCAGCACCTGTTATGACTGCGCCCGTCGTCTCAGCACCTGTCATGCCAGCCGCGGCATCGGCACCGGCCATGCCGGCCTCATCATCGGGATCGGGCATGTCGGGCGGAGCCATGCCTGCCGCAGCGGTCGTTCCGGAGCCAGTTGTCGCAGCACCGGCAGTCGCAGCACCGGTCGTCGCAGCACCGGCAGTCGCAGCACCGATGGTAATGCCACCGATGGCATGTGGTCCCCCGTGTATGGCCAGGAAAATGCTTAAAAAATTACGTGCCTAAGCCGATGATGATGATGCGTTTGTTGGCAATGTCGACCTTCCTGCAGATCAAACGAACAAATTTGTTATTAGCAAATGTTTATGAGATTCACTTTTCCACATGTGAAACTCTGAGTTGAGGTAATGCTCACCTCCTCAATCAACAATAGGTAAGCTGCTGCAACATTCGCTCAGAGCACTGACCAGAGATTGTGAGATCAACTAACGAACTCTCGAAATGACTAAAAATTTGCATGTAGTCTCAAAATGCTACAGTGCCAAATTTTGCACTCACCTCAGCTAGGTGCTTTCACTGTGTTTCATTGCATTGACTATTACTTGTCAACGTGCTTTCGTTTCATCACTTGTGATCACAAATGCGTCTTCATGTTCACTTATCAATAACTAAAAGAATATTGTTATAAAAAAGTTTTGCATTCGCACATTCATAATAATTTTGTGTGATCGTTTTGTTTTTAAATGTATACTTAAATAAACATATTGGATGTAATTGATAGTGCTGTAATTGGTTGCTTGCCCTCCAGTAAACATTTGTGTGTTTTCACTGCACTCTTGTTGTTCAACAATCAAAAATCTTTGAGAAACTCGATGAGAACAGTGTCATTGAATGTGATTTATTGCAGCAGTATAACTGGTTTAGTGTTCAGCGTGTTTCACTGAATTATGCTGAAAGCAATGCTGAATTATGGAATGTGAATGTTACACCAACAAAAAGTGACATTTATTTCACTCATATTTCACTGAATAACGCAAATCTTATCGCACAATAAATGAATCGACCATATGCAAACANGCTACTGCTATACTTTTATGCAGGCAGCATTCGTGAAATCCAGTTTAAACGATGACCAACCACCACGTGTCACGTTAGTGCATATCGGCGACGTAGTTTTGTTGCAAAATTCTCAAACGAGAAATCTTAAAAACGAAAACTTTTTGTGCCATTCCATCCAATTTCATTCCAATTTTAAATGATTTCGTGTTTTTTTTTGTCATCGAGCAAAAACCTCACAATCCACTATCGTGCTAAATTTCCACTCAACACAGGAACCGTTGTAAGAAAAGTGTTCAGAATTGCAGAAATCAGCAAAAAATTCACACAGAAATTTGTTTAGATAGAACTTTGATCTATCCTCATAGTGAAACAGGCAAACTTTGAAGACATGATGAATTCGATGCCGAACAACATTTTCAAATTGTTTTCTTCATCACTATCGTCTGCAATCATTCCAGTCATACTCCAGATGCGGTAGACGATGTTAAGTGGTGAACTTTACTAAAGGGTGAAAGCAAACTTTCATAAATTGAATTACTACTTTACGTACATCCATCCATGCGTAAATTTACGTAAATTACGTGAAACGTACGTAACTTCATAAACAAGTCGAAATTTTGCTTACCCAAATCCATGCGTAAAGTTGATTATTTAAACCTTCTCAGATGAATCATTGGAACGGTTCAGCAACAGTTTGCTAATTTGCAAAAAAAAGGACAATTTGGATGATAATCAGTCAGAATGATAATCAATCGCAATATGCAATCGCAATCATAATTTCGTGCCTGTTTTTCATCGCAATGTGCTTGCTTTTCAATGATATTTGCATAAGCGATGTTTGCATAGTCGTAAACGAACGCATGATACTGCTACATGATCAGAGAACACTGATGCTCATTCAGCATGAATGCCCAATTGAATAAATGTTTTTGAAAGAAGCATACAAGTTTATGATTAGCAACAATGACTGTTGTTGTTGCATTGATACAAGTGATTTTTGTAAAAATCTGTTACATGTGAATAGATTCACACTTTCTATGCATACAGTCCACTTCTTGAATATTTTAAGGAAAGCATCACATAGCAACTTCTCAGTTTTGAATTTTGTCCGCTTAGCTGATGTCTTCCCACTAGTTTACCTCTTTCAGCTCACTCCCACTTGCAGTTATAGCTACATTTTTTCTCAAATTTGATAGCGGAAATTTTTCTGGACTTCCATAATTTTGATCATCCCAAAGCAATGATATTGATCATTTCCAAAAGCATTAAATTTGTGACCAATTTATGTTATCTTGAAAGCGTATTTTAATGGTCTTAATGATTTAATGACATCCGCTCTAATTGATCAATCCATTCTCTCATTGATCTGTTCATGGGAGCGCCGTTACTAACAGATATTGTAGATTCGAGTAAAGTTCTCATAGATGTGAGAAACAGAACCTGCTGAATGTTGAGATGTGAAAACCAGAACCTTTCATCAAGATTGAAGCGATTTCTGAGATTTCTATGTTCTAAACCGTTAGTTTCATACGCCACTTAGGCAGATTCTCAATTGTTCAGTGATTTTAATTACAGAATAATTACGCGATAAAACGTTGTTGAGCACTGCGAATCGTCGGGATGTCTGATGGAAGTTGTAAGCACTTTTTTTTAAGCATTCGAAAAGGCCTAGTTTTACTCAAATAGAGATCAAACCGTATTTTGGAACTATCAGAAATGAAAACAAAAAACTCCTACGACTCAATCAATTTGAATAAACTCTAAAATATCGTCATTAATTTG